GCTGGGTACTGACAGTGATGCACAAGGTAGGGACTAAAGCTGCTTTAGTCTCCAGTGAGATCTGCTTTGGATAAATCTGGGGTCATCAAACTTGCCTCTGAACCAGTATTGGTGTGCACTGAAACAATTGTGGCCATACCTGGAACTGCCTGCTAATCTTGAAATAACACATTTACAGCTTCCCTCCCTGGCAACCTCCATTTGCAGGTGGACTCTTAAATCAGCAATAAGTGCATCAGCCATTGTTACAGAGGACTCAGTAAGGACTGGGACACTTAGCTCTAGGTCTTGACTCCCACAGCATTGCTCACAGAATATGAAAGTCAGGCTCGGCCATTCAAGTGGAAAGCTCATGAAGGCTAACTCCTCAAACTGCTCTAGTTAAATCCACAAGGCCTCTCTGTCAGTGTTTTTATCGTCTCTTATTTAGGGCCAAGCATGACTGTACACCTCAGCAGCCATAGCAGCTCAGGTGATGCTCAGCAGCTGAGCCTACACAAAGCAGCAGAGGACACGTGACTGAACTGAGCAAAGGATGGTTCACTAAGAAAAGCTTATTTAAAAACCAGCAGCAATCAAAGAAGGTCCCACAGGAAATGCACCTTTGACTAGTTTTCAAGGACATCATGAAGATCTGTTTACAAATCTAAAATGTCCTGATGGATTCCATTTTTAATTTCTAGTTTTTGTTATTAAATGAGGGAGAAGAAAACAGGAAAGCAGTGCAATTAGATGAACATGCACATGACAAACTGGCAGGGAATAATTTGCTACTGTTTTAATCAATTCAGTATCAAATGACCATTCCCTTGGAATACCTTCAGAGAAGCAAACGGGCAGCAAACACAGGAATTTGACAACACAGCAATCTGCTGATTGCCACTTGGATATTCATAAGTTACAAATCCCTTCCACCTTTAGATTTTATTTCATTTGTTATAAAAAGTCATAAATAATTGAAAGTCACATGATGAATTATTCAGCTAAGTGCACAGTTTCCAAGGAATCATAGCATGAGTCTGGATTAATGCTCTAATGCAAGTCAGATGCAGAAGTTGAGCTGACACCCCACAGTTACCACACAGTAGAGCAGTCCAGGGAGTTTGGCACTTGTCAGCGTGTGCTTTCCACCACAGGGACACATAAGTACCTTGTGAATATTTATGAACAAGAAGCGTCTATTGCCTACTGTGTACTTCAGCTGCTCGCCCATACAAGGTTATGAATTAGTGGAACTTAACCCAGAGCTTCCCTTGGCACAATTGATTAGGACATTCATTATCTCTAAGTGATCACACTGTCCTTCAAGATTACTGCTGAACTTAAATATCTGCTATAAAAGACTTAGTCTTTAGCCATAATTACCTGTAATAATTACCTGATAAGCTACTTGGGGGGACTGGGATAGAAGTGCCTGCAGGAACTACTGTTTGTTATAAAAATGCTGGTACAATCCTGCTACTTTCTCTACACAAATCAAATAATCTAACATATTTTGTGTAGGTCTAGGTCCATGATGTTCAGAAACAAATAAATATCAAATAATATACAAACTAAGGCATCCTGTGTAAACTGGAACTAAGAAGCTTGCTTTTTTTACAGATGTGTCTCCTGTTTTTTACTGAATTTAGAGTCTAAGATTATACAAATTCTGACTATAGTTTCTTCCAAAACTGGGGAAAATTATTAATCTCTGTCCTGTGCAGATCATCTAGCACATGAGAAACTTCATTCACAGTGAAGAACCTCCCAGCTTCTGGCCCTTCTCTTTTGAGGGCATTCAATTTTGGTCTCTACTCTGCTGTCTGTTTTCAGGTTGCAGGGACTTCTAAGATATTTAACCTTCTGTCATATTCCACGAGAATCATCCCAACAGGATAAAAAGCTCTTATAGAAGATGTTCAGTGGAAGGTATAACCTACTACACAAACATGGAAGACAGAATTCATCTTCCCTAGCCACAGATCTGAAATGATGAACTTGCACTTTTCTTTTTAGGAAATTGTCATGAAACTCAGAAAAGTCATTAATCACATTTACACAAAGCAGATACCTCAGAATGAGGTAATTGTGATCCTTAAGTCTAACAGCCAGTCTGAAATAACCCCATAGGGGTACCATCTCAATCCAGAATACTAATCACTGGTTTGGTTTTCTCCCTCTCTACCATGGATAATATTGAATCATAGAATATTCTGAGTCAGGAGGGATCCACAAGGGTCATCTTGTCCAAATCCTGGCTCTGCACAGAACAGCCCCGAGAATAACACCAGGTATCTGAGAGCATTGTCCAAACTGTTCTTGAACTCTGGCAGGCTTAGTGCTATGACCACTTCCCTGAGGAGCCTGTTCCAGTGCCCAACCATCCTCTGAGGGAAGAACCTTTACCTAATATCCAATCTAAACAGCCCGTGACACAGTTTCATGCCATTCCCTCATGCAGTGTCACCACACAGAAGAGATCAGTGCCTGCCCCTCCTCTTCCCCTCATGAGAAAGTTGTAGACTGCAGCGAGGTCTCCCCTCAGTCTCCTCTTTTCCAGGCCGAACAAACCAAGTGACCTCAGTCATTCCTCATACAACTGCCCCTCTCAACCTTTCATCATCTTCACAGCCCTAAAAATACCTGGAAATATACCTTGGAAAATACAAGCAGAGAACCTATTGTTCAGTAAACTTACACATTATCAGAAACTACGCAAGCACATTTCAGAACATACAAGGACTTGCAACCATTATCTTCTAAAGGAAAACAGAGTTCCTCGACACAAGATGTGTCGTATGACTAGGGATTTTCTTGGCTTAGACATTCAGGAAGTCAGTTATCCTGATCCCATCCACACACAGAACTGGAGATAAGCATGAAGCAGGCATGTACTTCTTAGAGAGGTGGGCATTGCTGGCCTGAACAGGTCTGAGTTTTATGTGAAGTCTGTTAACATGAGGCATGCCCCCAAAAAATCAACCCTCTCTTCCTTCCAGATGAAGCAACTCTGTGGATAACACTTTGCTCACTACAGGTATGATCCTTGAGGGGTAGCAAAGTACAAGGCATGACCCAGAACTATTTCTAGAATCATGCAAAAGCTTTGCTGAACATATATGAAATTACATGATAACCATTGATAGTCTCTGCCTTAGCTCATTCTGTAGACATTGCACTAATGGAAAACTGAAAAGATATCCCTGAACGGCTTCCGTACCAATAGCCAAGATGTCACCTTTCTTGGGAATTTGTTTCCTTATTACTTATTCATATTCTTATGATTTATTCCTATTCACAGTGCTTTAGACTACAGCAATTTTCAGGAAACTATCTCTGGCTGAGTTCACGCTGTACATAATATTTGTCTCAGCATGTTCTAGATCATCTCCAAAACAATAAAAATAGACTTATAATTCTGCTGAGGTCACAACTGCATTGTTTGGGGTTTGTTCTGTCAAAATGCCCTCAGAGCATCATTAAGCACTTGCTCTTCTTAAAGAGTAAGAACCATAGCCACCTAAATTTTCATTCAAAAGTATATAAATAACAGAAGCAATAAACAATACAGTTCTAGATTATTTTCTGATTTGAAAGTAGTACTGAGAATGTGATTTCCAGAATATTTTACCACCTAAACCCAATATTTACAAATAGAAGAAAGTGACTACATTCCAGCTCATTATGCTACCTGCGTTTTCAAGTTCACCTGGGGCAGTATTTCTGCCATTCACTGGCACAGACATGATAGAAATTTGAGGGGATCCGCTCGCCAATCTACTTTCGAGACGCCGAAGGAATGAACTGTAATACGCGAGCATCACCTAGTGATCAAAGGCTGAACTACCGCACCACACCAGCACTTGGGCTTGTTAAATACTGTTGCGTATTTATTGAACTGCGGTCACAAAAAGAGACTAATTTTGGAAAAAAAAAAAGAAAAACACATTTAAAAAAAATGCCACTTGATATTCGGTGTCTGTCCTGAAGGTAGCAGAGGACACGCTCAGGCTCATCCCTAACAAAACACAGACATGAAATGTTGCAGGCAGTGAATGTTTGCTCGAGACACTCACTCACACTAAAATTCTCAAGAAAAAGAATAGAAATAGCTACTTAAAGGATAAGTGCATATTCCTTGGTTTTGACGTTTGGCAGCTTGTTACAGCAGCAAATGTGTGAAGACCCACATTTCACTATGCTGTTAATATTCTAAGAATGTGTGCAGTAACAGCTGATTTCTGAACTATTAAAAACAAAATCATGTTCATGAGGATGGAGAAGCATTGGATGAAAGGCAAATGCCCAGCACATCAGTAAGTGTTCTGAAAAAGAAAAGAACTTCAAGAACCGAGTTCATTTATAAATTACAAAGACCTCAAAAATAAACTATACAATCATAATATACACAGATCTATTATGTATTGACATAATTATGAAATGATAACTTAAAAATTATAAACATTTAAGCCTTTAGCAAACAGCTTTGTTACAAAGAAGAAGAGCAAATCTGTGAAACCAGGCATGTACCTTTGCCCTGCTTCTTGTCGGGCCAGTGACAAAATTAACATTGGTTCTACGTAAGCTCAAGAGTCTTCTCTGCAGTTAATCTTACATTAACAACCTGTGACACTGAGAAATAGGTAAGTTACATATATTTTTACTAGTTTCATTATTTTCTAAAAAAGCTTCAGAGGTGTACATCAACATGGAGATAAGGGTCTGACTTTTTCTATCTATTCCCACTCTTGCCATGCACAAGCAAATGAAAAAGGGCTTAGATAAAAGCGCAGTAAAACAGATATATTGGATAAACTGTATTGAACAAAACCAGATTGAGTTGGAATGTTGAGTCAGCATAAAATCTGCTTTTACCTTATATCCTCACTAAAGTTAAATGGTTAAGGCTGCAATGTAACACCAAACCGAGAGATGAGACACGAATACGAAGAAAACATCCACAGTGCAAGAAATATGTTGCAAAATTTTTATTTAAAGCGGGTGAAGGCTTTACTTACAATTCTTCTCCTTGTTTTGCTTTTCTGTCAGAAACCAAATACACGCTTCCAAAGCTCCCATTGCCAAGTTTCCTCTGAATAGTGTATCTTCTTGCAATCACTGCATCTTGGCAAGCGGAGTTAAATCTGGCAACAGTGACACGCTTAGCAGTTTCTTGAAATTTCAGCATTTCTCTGTGTAGCAAAAACTATGCAGATTTCTCTAGAACGTAGCTTTCAAATCCTTCTATTCCTCTATGGATGTTCACAGAAATCACTTGAAACAGAAAAAAAATTGATTTGTCAATGTATTACTCTTACTAAACTTTTCATTTAATTCTATGGCAGCGCTTGTAGTGAGTGCTAAGCTTGCAGCAAACCACAAATTGAGTGGAATTGCTAGCTGCTAAGCTCTGGGCAGCAGACTTGATAATGAAACTACAGATACTATAGATGTGACATAGTCAATCTCCTCTAAAACAACCTTAAATTAACTCCCTGAACCGCTAACACAGAGGAAATGTCATGCAGGTGCTTACTGAAAAGCTCAAGTGCTTTTTGCAGTGACAACTACAGCTGTATTTCCCCTCACAGTTCCTCTAGACATGGCAACTCTTCCTCAACACCTGTCTTTATACCACCACAGTACCTGACACCAAAAATATCTGTGTTTCAGGATAAAAGTTTCAAGATTTTTGTATATACTGAAGCATAACCTCCACCTATAATTTGAGTTCTCTCCCATCAACAACTCCAAAGCTGTTTTATTTGCTCTTTCACTTATCCCTCAGATTTCACCATCTGTTGCAGTGCTGACCTCACAGCTTCTCTGTGATTCAGTGATATCTTCTGCAAATTAGAGTTTTGTGGCTACATGCAAGCCTACAAGACTTTCAGTATAACCCAATCCTTCCAAAAGTTCTTCATTTCTCCTCTGCCGTGTCCGTTCATGACCCACCTTTCTAACAGTAGCTTTGGTTTGGAATTCTTGTCTAACTGAAGTCCTAATTCTACAAACACAGGGACTGCAGAGCTAACCTTTAGTGTTTCTATGGTTTTTAATAACTGAACATGAGTTTAGAGTAACTTTGTTCACCATTCCTCATTGCAGATGATAAAGGGTAGGTCTTTCACTGCATATAATACAACAATATTGCTTTCATTTGCCTTGTGTTTATATAATGCTACCTGAGTCACTTGTGCCTGAGGACCCTTTGGAACAAATAAAGATATTTCAAGATCAGTGCTAATACTACTGTCAGCATTGCCCGAGCTGCAGTGCAGCGTGCCCACGCTAGGCTTGTTCACCATTCCATTTTAAGGTGAAGGCAAGCGCATAAAAATGCCTTTTTTTTTTTTTTTTTTTTTTTTTTTTTTTTTTTTTTTTTTTTTTTTTTTTTTTTTTTTTTTTTTTTTTTTTTTTTTTTTTTTTTTTTTTTTTTTTTTTTTGTTATTGCTTTGGAAGAGCAAAGATAAATTGTTTAATTTTAAAAGTTATATAACGTTTGGTTCCAAGTCACTGGCTTCTCTTCCAAACAAATGCAGAGCCTAAATTAGATTACAAATTTGTATCTTGCAACAACAAACTCTGTGTGTGTGTGTGTGTACACACCAGAACCTATTTTAATACCCATCTGCTGAGCTGCTGTCACATTGTGCCCAAAAGCCTGACATTGCACTGTCACTATTCTATGAAACACAGATAAACTTTAGTTACTACAAGACATATTAATAATGCCAATCCTGTATGTTTTTTAAACTATAGCACTCCCAATATTTTTTTCTTTATTCTCTTTCAGGTAGCAACACTGACAAAAACTTTGAAATGCAAATGCTAAGGAAACAATGTCAGCTTTCTCTGAAATCTGTCTGAAGAAACAATAAACGGATCACACTGAGGTGTGGAGAAGGAGACAGCAGGAAGATGAACTCCATAAAATATTACATTGCCAATTCTAGAAAATTTACATAATATTTTCATTTACTGTTCTCCTAGTTGCTGTTTTATCCATGCCTTCAAAAATGCCTTTTGAAATAACTACACTTAGAACAACTGCTGAGCTATCTATATCTATTTTTTGAGAGAGGAATCACTTGGCACAGCTCACCTTCAAATTTTCATACTTCCTTGGGCCCTAGGAATATATCACAAACCTTTACACTACAATATCACGCTTAAGATCAAGTAGCCCTTTGAATGTAACTCCTGTGCTTTCTTATTATGCGTCTCACCACCTACTCTATGCTTCAATTCCCCTCTCCATATAATAATAGTAATAACTATCATTATGTAACTTTGTGAAATGCTTTGATATCTCCTGGTGAATGGTGTTAAAAGGCAGCAGACAGTGATTGCCATTGGGGCATCACAGGCACATTTTAGTGGCACAGAAGAGGCGGATTGAAAGAAATACCCTGTATGACTCAACCACAAGACCGACTGATACTTCAAGAAGTACATGTACCAGTGGCCTCTCCTCCCTCACTCAAACCTTTAGCCCAACCTTCACTGTATCTCCCACCAGTGACCGTCTTTTCCCACTGAGCAGGTATTTCCCAAGCAGCAGCATCAATTGCTTCATTAAAGTTCAGAATAACTAAAGATAGCTCAAAAAAATCAGCTCCTCAGCTCCCTTTTCCTCAAAAATCCCAGTATACACTATTCAATAACACTGGTAAACAGTTTATGTTCTAAAGTTTGTCCCACGCACCCACCACCCCCAAGTCCCATCCCAGAGTCTGGCACACTGCTGATGCCAACCAAACTAACGCAATGACGTTTTCTGGATCATTTTTTTAAAAAAAATAGTTTCTTCATTGGCTAGAGTTAAATCTTCCTTTTTGTGCTTTAAGCTAAAGGAAAGTAGTTGTTTAGGGTTTCATAGTTCCACCTACACATGCTAAGCACAAAGCACCTCAACTTCTTCCTTGACCTTTCTTCCTTTATTTAAGAAAGATTAACCTCCTGGTTTCTTTAGCAACAGCTTACATACCCTGACACTTTCTACTTCCAAGATAAACCCTTCTTTGCCAGTCAAGGCCATTTTCCAGTTCTATCAGGTTTTCTTTTTATTCCTTAAGAACCACTGTGCTACATCAACATTTGCCACCTCCCACCCCCTGCAGCACAAATTCCAGAGTTTTTATATTTAAGCTCTAAATAGCCTCAGTTCTTACTACTTAGAATTTTTTTCCTGCCAATGACTTCACTGGCCCGTTCCTTTAAATGTTTTGGCAAATAAAAGCCCGAGATTTTCCTTGTATTTTCCTTCGTTAAAAAACAAAAACAAACAAACCAAAACAACCCAAAACCAAACAAAAACACTTTTTAATGCTGACTACATTATTATTTTCTGCAATATCTTTATAAACTTACCCAAGCCTCAAGTAACATCATCTCATTTGGCTCAGTTTTATACTGAGATTTTTCTATCCAGAGAAAGGATAATTAAGATTTTATTAGTAGTGCCGGTAGCAAAGGAGCTTGAGGGTGATGGCAAAACAAGGTCAAATGTGCTCGACTATCAAAGAAGATATTTAGTATCTGACGCACATTCGGGAAGCCGAGATTCCCCAGGGATAACCTGAGAGATGTTAACACCTTGTCAAAGCACCGTGTAAGACTCAAAACTCACGTTCCGAGCTCCCCTCATACAGAGGGGCGACAGGGGAACGCCCTCACCCCGTCCCCGTTCCTCACCCCTCCGGGAAGCGTGGGACTCCTCGGGACCCACGGCCAGGTACCCCACCTTCCCACCGCTCCAGCGCCCGGCCTCGACGGAGGGGACTACGCTCTGTCTGGGTCCCCCGGCTCCTTTGTGGCCGGCGCGGGGCAGGCGGGGCAGGGCAGGGCAGGGCAGGGCAGGGCAGGGATCGAGGGAGCGCCCCCGGCCCGCCCCCCTCCCACGCCGTGTTTGCTGCCCCGTCGCCAGGAGACGGCGCGCACGCGCCCCAGAGCGGCCGGGCGGGAGGGAGGGAGGGAGGGAGGGAGGGAAGCGAGAGGAAGAGGAAGCGGATCTGGGAGTGGAGTGCCCCGCGTGCCGCTCCTGGCACCGCCTCCGGCGCCATGGGCGTCCAGGGGCTGACGGGATTCGTGGAGGAGCGCGGCGTGTTCTTCACCGAGCTGCGGGTGCGGGACACCAAGCTGGTCATCGACGGCAGCAGCCTCTACCACCGCCTCTGCTTCGCCCCCGCCGCCGACTTCCGGCGCGGCGGCGACTACGGCGCCTTCGCCGCGGCCGTGCGCGACTTCTTCGGCACCCTGCGGTCCTGCCGCGTGGCCCCGTTCGTGGTGCTGGACGGCGGGCGCGGCGCCGAGGACAGGAAGCTGCCCACGCTGCGGGGCCGCGCCGCCGAGCAGCTGCGGGCGGCGCACGGGCTGTCCCGCGGGGCCGGCGGCTGCCTGGCGCCGCTGCTCACCCGCGAAGCCTTCGTGCAGGCGCTGGGCCGGCTCGGCGTGCCCTTCGTGCAGTGCTTCGCCGAGGCCGACCGGGAGATCGCCGCGCTGGCCAACAGCTGGGGCTGCCCCGTCCTCTCCCTCGACAGCGACTTCTGCGTCTTCGACCTGGCGGGCGGGTACTGCCCGCTGTCCCACTTCCAGTGGGAGAGCGTGCGCGCCGCGGACGGGCCGCAGGGATGCTACGTGCCCGCGCGATGCTTCTCCGTGGAGCGGTTCTGCAGGCACTTCGGCCGCCTGAACAAGAGCCTGCTCCCGCTCTTCGCCGTCATGAACGGGAACGACTACGTGGGCCTGGCAGCCCTGGAGGCGTTCTTCAGCAAGGTGCGCCTGCCCAGGGGCTGCGCGGCGGGGAAGGGCGGGAGGCACCTCCGCCTCCAGGGGCTCCTGAACTGGCTGGCGCAGTTCGCGGAGCCCACCGAGGCCGTCGAGAACGTGCTGAAGTACCTTAAGAAACATCAGAGGGAAGAAATAAGGGAGCTTCTGTGCACTTCAATGGAGGATTACGCTCCGTCTGATGTGAATCTTGAGGACTTCTTTCAGAATGGAAGGTATGAATGCGAAGCTGCGAGGAAAGCAGACGTACCACAGTGGGTGCTTGATGCTTTGGCTAAAGGTAAGCTGGCCCCATTCATCATCAATGCACTGATACTAAGAAGCACCATCCTACGCGTTCAGGTGGAGAACATGCAGAGACCGAGCGCTCACAGCGCATCTTTGCCCATCCGACAAGTTATCTATGGACTGCTCCTGGGGGTATCTCAAAATACTGAAGCTGCTTCTCCAAGTAAGCAGACCCAGGAGCTGCCCGTTGTATGTGAATTTGACAGATGCCAAAAGACAATTAAAAAAACATTTGTTCAAGCAGCAAGCCCACCCACAGATTTTTGTGATGATCGTTTTCCTTTGGACAAATTAATGGAGGTAAATGGTTGTCACAACAGATCACGGTTAACAGTGTTTCACGAGTGACAAAAGTAGCTGGGACTTATGTTTGCCAGCTGGTCGCTAAATGTGATGTCTGAACTAAGCCACCTCATTAAGTAACTGCTTCATACAGAGGTACCTGTGATACTTAGGAAGCTACATAGATTTTCTTTATCTCCTTCTCTTCCTGCCTCCCTTCAAGTGTACCAAGATAAATGATATGAAAAGTTACTGTTTGTATATGCAATACTCCCTAAATTTTCTCTACTAGGCCTTTATTTCATCCTGTGGATTTTGTTACACTAATACTTCCTTTTATAATTATAGGAAGTCAGTTTCTTGTAATTTAGAAAAGTCCAATTCAACACTACAAAACCTACTTTGTATTTGATCAAGCTATGGCTGTGTGAGAGCAGTGTTCTGAAACAAAATCTGACCCATGCCTTTTTCTAAAAATCATCATTTCGTGTGTGCATCTTGCAGCTGCCCAGCAGTTTTACCTGCCCCAGGTATGCTTCTGCTAATGTGAACCCCTGCTGCTTGCCAGACAGAGCAGAACAGCACCGGAAAGACAGCTCGAACCAAAGGAAAGTTGTACTAGGCTACTTCCCATCACCAGTAGCAATTCTGTATATTTAAATTCTAATGATTAAGACTGTAATTCTTGCCGTGTTGGAAAGTAATCTCCGGTTCCCAAAGTTGCATAATAGGTTTTGTATGCAGTAATTTCTGCAACATCTAGAAATACAATGTGTGTCTCTTAATTCTGCATACTTAAGCCACATGTTCTATCCATTCTGGCATTCAGATCAACTGTTAACACGTTTCTGTGTGTAGTCAGTGCTGAATGTTTTTATCACTTGCTGGTGGCTATTTTGTAAAGGAACTGAGTCACTGCTATGCCTGTTAAATGCTACAGACAGCTATGGATCCAAAGGCCTACATACAGGTCATTTTACACAGGTTATTGGTACAGGCCCTTTAAACGAGCATTATGCAACACTTAAGATCTTGAAAAATCATGTTTTGGGATTATAGGAGACATTAATGACACCTTACTTCGACCTTGGCATGTGTGCTGTTGGTTTAATGGATCTGAGCTTCTGCTATTACAGCTTTCCTTACTCAATATACAGAAATAATCAACTGAACAGAAAGTTAAAAGAAGAAATGATATCCTGCATTGAAAGTGCTCTAGACAAACTGACTTCAGTTTCTCTTCTGCCATGGGGTGGTCTGCCTGAGAGTAGGCAAAACAATCCCAATCAAGGTTTACAAAGCACTCGAATTACAGTTCAACAGCCTGCTGCGATTCTGCTGCATGCATGAAGTTAGGGGCACAGCTTATAACATTGAACTTCTGGAAGTTAAATGGCACAACAAAGAGCGAGAGTGTGCTAGAAATTAATACACTGCAGGTGAAAAATGTAAGCTTCACACTTAGATTTCACTGTGATTATAGGTAAGCATGCTTTCAAGGTATTAAGAACAGACATCACCATTACATCTTACAATGGAAGGATAATTTCTAATAAAGGTTTTATATATATGTTTGTATATATATTTTCCATAATTTTAATGCACTATGGTTACAAGATTTCCTAACAAGTCACCTGATATGAAGACTTTGAAACTTCTTAAAATCTCACCTCATGCAATTCTAAAAGATTACTTTTATCTTTCTCCCTTGCATTTAACTGTATAGTTTTTTAAGTTTTAAGTAATATTTAAAAAATATTTCCTGTAGAGAATATCTATGAAATTTAAAAAAATTTTTTATAAAAAAATCTGAAGTGCGAGCTAGTTTAACCAGAAACTTATTTGCCTTTTGGAAAATTGCTCACAACAAATAAATTCTCTTACCTTTGTTTTTCCACTTGAATTTTTAAATTTATTTTCAGATGTCCATGTCATGCCGTCAGATGCTTTTGCTGGAGACTCTAGGAGTGAAAATGAGCTTCCTAGAATCTATCCCAAGTCACTTACAACTCCCTGTTGCTGTAACGTGTTACTGGATACGTTGTTCAGAACCAAAAGTTAAGTTGCATCAATTAAAGGCGCTACTTCTAACGATAGTATCTGGAGAACTGCACAGGATAAATGATGATCCAGGTATGTCTCCAAAGAATACAATTTCAGGTGTTCAGCTACTACAAAAATCTGTGCAATAATTAATTTTTCCCACTTACGGTGAGATGTTCGAATTTAGATGAATTAGCACTGATTTACACTATATCCTGAGGTGTCACATTCTCTGCATTGATATGTGCAGAGAAATAGTGCTAACCCTCAATATAACATTTTTCCCCATAGTTTTATGTGCTGAAGACGACAGTATTGCATATAACGAATTTCTAAAATGGAAGGAAAAGAAACTGCAAAATAACGACTTTGATTTAGACGCCGCACACAATTTTTGCCAGTGGCAATGCTGTCTTCAGATGGGATTGTATCTCAACCAGCTACTTTGCACTCCTCTCTCTGAGCCAGACCTAAGTAGGTAAGGATGTTTCAGAGATCTGCTTTCCACCCAAGCCCCTGATGGAACCTGTTCACCTGTTGTTTTACTTTGTGTCAAACTCCTTTGGCCAGGTGTACTACATTTGAACTCCCTTCTTTAAAGCAATTAATACAGAGATAAATACTCTGTAGCATACGTGTCCCTTAGGCATTGACTGTTGGATACTGCGTGCATTTGTGTTTATTCACTGAGCAACATGTTTCTGTACCTGTTAAAATGCAATTCTAAATGAAGATTCTCTCCTTCCCTTGAGCAGGCTTTACACTGGGATCCTTGTGCACAGACTGTATCAGGAGCTTAAATCAACACCTTCAGTGGAAAATCTGTTTATTTTATCTCAAAAAATGACTCAGCTTTATCTGCTTTTGCTAAATACAGTGGAGGCAACTGTATCTCCAGAATTCTTTCAGAAAACGACCAAGACTAGATCAGACTCCTGTAAAAAGAAGAAAGCATCTATTAAGAAAAAAACAGCCAAGTGTGCAATGCCAGAAAATCTGCATTTTTGCAGTGTTAATAGGTTTGCATCACTGGAAGTGGATGACTGAAAGCATTACTCCTGGAACAAATTCTAATGCCATACTGATGAAAGAAATTACATTACAATATATAACCATATTGGAATTTTTCTGCTATTTTCACACAAGATCCTGATTCAATCTTTACCAAAAATCTTGCTTCAGGGGATTTTTTTATTCACCATTTTGTAACTTACATTTATATAAAAGAGATGCTATATAAAAGCTGTGTTTTGTTTTTCTTTAAAGTATCACTCCAATTGAAAACGAGAGCAAAGTTGTTCAGCATTTCACATTTTCACATTTTCACATGGACAATTTTTGAAGAATTCTTTTCCTGCACATTTATAGTTGGCTCTGCTCTGAACACTTCTCCTTTCCAAAAAAATCGAAAAAATGTGTTTGAGGAACACAGTGATTACAGTCTTACAGATGAGATTGAAATGGAAATTGCCAAGTTTAAAAATATTGTAAAATCGGTCTTTACAGGTAGAGTACTTGTACTCTGAGGGAGAGCTAGCTTTACTTGGTGAAAACTGAGTAGTACAGGTACTGACTATACTCGGGGATAAACTTCAGCTTCTGTTCCTCCCCCTTCCCCTGTGACATGGTTAAAAAGAGTTAAATGCAGCACAAAGCTGTCACATGGGAGCAAGTTTCTGAAGGTTTGCTAATTCAAAGTCATTGTCACAGTCATTGTGTACAATCATCTGCCATTAAACTGTTGTCACTCTTCTTTCTATAATGCCTATACTAAAACAGCAGACTGTTTTGACTGATGTACACTAATTACTTGACAAACCCTTGCTATCAACACAGTAATACTGAAAAACAATTTATAATAAAAAAAGCAAAATCCTACATCATCAGTATTTCCCAGTGCTTTGCATTAGCAAACTTTTCAGCATATTTAATCGATTTACATATATGCTTTTCTTACAAAACTATTGGTTTTCCAGTGTCTTCCCAATGTAAATTCTAATTACTACATTTCTGGTTTTTTTCTCCTCAAGAATCCACATACCTTTTCTTACATTTAGGGAAATCATGATTTCCACCTTTCATGATTAAAGTTTTCCCATTACTTACCAGAATTCAGACTTGGTTCCTGTATTGTCTGCTCAAGTTTTCAGTCCTGCTTATGCTCCCTATCACATCTGTTCACATGGAAGTAACTCACTAGATCTTGGGACTTACAGGAAAGGTCTCTCACACCATGCAGCTGAATCTCGACACTGCCCTAATATAGTCAATAAGAAAAGAATAATCTGTAAGATGGTACATAATTGAGAAAACTGGGTTTGAGATACTGTCATAGCAAGATTTCAGTACAAAAGCCGCTACTTGCTAAACTACCAGCAGATGGCACCTACACTCAACCACACCGCAAGTTACCAGAACTTCACAACCTATTTCTGAATAGATTTCTGTTTGCAGCAGCCTACAGCATCGCATCTCCATCAGACAATTTTAAAGTTGAAAGGGGTTAAATTTAAAAATCTTGATTTTACTAACTAAAACTTGAATCTTTTAATTGTCCAAATCATCCTCTGATCCATTATGATCCCGTGTGTTTTATTTTACCAAGCTTGTAATTCTTAATCAGTTCTTAATCATCAGAAATAGTCACATGTAAAGTAAGTCCGAAGTATAAAAATACAGGCATATTTGATTCCACTTTGTTAGTGATGTGAGAAGAGAGATCTTAATTTACTTTGAATCCCATATTGGAAAACTGCTGTAGATCACAAAAATTCTTGAGACTTTCTGAGAAGTGGTATCTTCAATTAGACAGTTCAGAAAACTGGGATAAGATCAAATACTCCATTTTCAGATAAAAACACTGCTATGACTACATGGCATTTTGAGAATACTTTTGGGAATGCCGACTCAATGATTAAGATTTACTGTACCGGAAACGTGTTCTCAATGCAGAATTCAGCTGTTCTTTGTTGCTGATGAAATGACACACACCTCACTGCAAGCACCAGTCCTGTATGCTGAAGAAAATAATTACTGATTCTAGTGCTACCATGCAGAATATTAATCAAGTGTTAGTTTTCATATTTGACTCATTATAGGTTCTCAAACTTATTTGGAGGAAAAATAGAAAATAAAGGGCCTTTAGTTATTAAAACTGAAACGTTCTTTATTCCAGGTTTTAGTAAAAGCAAGTAAATTCCTTGGTTGTTGCCTGCTTTCACCCCACAAGAAATGCCTCCTCATTTTTATAGAAAATTCTCACTATTGATTCAACTGTTCTGCAGAAAAATCTCTCAAACGTGCTGAATGGTGGTAATGAACCACATGAGAAAAGCCAAAACAATGTTGATGGAATTCAGTAAAAGCAATTTCTATAAATAATGACATTGAGCTGGATTTACTGTTTGTATTTTATCTTCCATTAGAAAACAGAGCACCAAAACTTTTGGCATATTTAAACTGAATTGCATTCAATTAAATCCACTTCCAAGAAGGCAAAATTGTCTGTAGGAGACTGACATTTTATTTCTTGTCTAGACTGTCATACCTTATTCAGAAAGCAAGACTTGTGCTGGGAAAGGGGCACTTCATAAACCCTTTGCTTAAAAACTAGACAATGACACTTCCAAGAGAAGACAACAATTTGGCATCATCTGCACTTCTGTACTTATCTAGACTTCTGGGGCTCCAAGATAAAGAGCAGCTCTCAAAGTAGCCAAATCCCATGGAAGAATATCAACCACAAGTTAAGACTTACTATGTGAAAGGCATAGTTACTGTGCTTTCTCAAAATCAAAGTTTGTTAAAGAGCTTCTTCATCAGCATGCATGGTCAGTTTTTACCTTTATTGATGAATACTAAGGATTTTATTAATAAAGAGTTCTGAAATTGTACTGGAATACTGAACAGCCTACAATATTGAACAGCTACAGCCTCACTTGCCAAAGACAGTTAACAACTGTCAAATCTGTTCAGCTTTGGAAAGGCAGAACGCATGTAAATAAGAAACTTCTGCTTGAACACACAAGAGCATTTCTGTAAGAGGTTATCTTGTTCAGGCCCCACCAGCTCAGTGGCTCACTTAACAATCCACAGGAAGAGATGAGGACCACATGCTGGGTCTTTGTCTTTAGACAATCAGATCTCCAGCACACTGTTAGTCCAGGCAATATGTGCATATTGAGCAGGCCCAGGGTCAGGCAGAGCAATGAATGAATTGCATGTGTAAAGCAGTCTCAGTGGGGCACTCATGCCCCGCTTCCTGACCAAGTCTGGGAATCTCCAAAGGAAAAAATAGAGAACAATTAAAACAACATAGTAGCAGAGAAATTCATACAGCACTTTCCAAACTGCCAAACTGCTTTCCAAGAACTCCCCTGATTCTGAGCATGGTACGTGGGGCAAGTCACAATAGTAAGAGCAGAAATACTCCAGTGCCTGTTTCCGACAACTCCTTATCAACTGACAGGATAACAATCATGACAGCATGGCCCACTGCCAATGCCACTGCCAGACTTGCAGGCTACAGTGAGGAAAGATGCATATGCACATGTTTACAATGCAAAAGAGATACCACTGTGTCTTTGACTCCCTCTAGAGGTCTCAGACATCCTCTTTTCAAGATTCCCTAGGTGATAGTTCCTTGCATTTCCTCAAGCAATGATGAGTCCTACTCTGATGAGAAGGCACTGATGACAACAGCGACAAGATTATTTTGAGGAATAAAACTATTTCCAACTAGTGAATATGAGAGTATGCAGACATCGTAATAAATTAAAAATACTTTTAACACATCAAGCCACAAATCTTATATCATGTTTTTCTAGCCACAAAAGTAATTCCGTAGGTTTAAATTTTAAGTTACATTACCAATAAAAAGTTATTTTTATGAACAGGGTGGAAGAGGTAAGGATAATGAAGCTTCTTTCAAAGAGGGGTGGGATTTTTTTGCCATAAGAGTAAGGAGCATTGCATTCATTTTCTAATTCAGTGCACTACAAATAATTTCAATAGCTACTGTCTTATAATCACTCAAGTGATCTATGAATCATATGCTAAAGTAAGTATGGAATGAGACATGAAACAAAGCCTGTATCTACAGTTCCATCAAAACAAGCATGCTCATCTGGTGCAAAATGCCAGTTTCTTTTAAAACAAAGAGACAACACTCTTATAAGAAAAGCAAACATTTACTTCAAATTGCAGTATAGGCTTTTCAATCACAGAAAAAGAAAAGAAAAACAGTGATCCGACAGCGGTCACATCCTGTGCAAAAAAAAAACCAAAAACCAAACTTGGGATACAAAAGAACTGTAGCACAAGGTACTTGAGCCGCTTACACATTGCAGGATAAAGTAAATAAATACAGTAGCTAGAATATGGCACTCTTGTGACAGACTCTAAACCCAGTGGAATGCCTCTGAAATATTTTTATCCTTGTATTAGTAGCAAAGTCCCACCACCAGAAAAGTAGAATAGTACAATGCTTTAAATAAAAACAAACTAAAATATTTATATCTAAGAGAAGGATTTTACACAGTTATATCTTTTAAGTGCAGAAAATGGGACTTGGGCTTAGATCTTTCTTTAAATTAACCCCTACCCCCACCCCCCACCCTGCAATACCATTCAATCTCAAAAGTAAATTTATGTTTGAGGAAAAACGTTACCAAAGTTGCATAATTTCGTTTGTTACTTCCACAGCTGGAAGTTAAATTCTGAACAGTCTTGAAACACGAAGTTCATCATTAGCCAGTGAAACAAAGGACTTGCCAAAAGCCCTCAGGATTTCTTTATCCTCCAAATATTGTTTTGCTTTCTCCTACATCTTTAGACAGCAATCGCTAAGTTTGCAAACAAAAGAATGCAATATGCATCATACATCAAGAAAAGACGAAGTTGACGAAGAAGAACTTCCACGTTTCTGGATCTTTTCCTTGCTTCTTTCAAACTTCTTTATTATCTCAGTCACTATGCACACAGAGGAAGTGAGTCCCAGAAGAAACAGTAAATCTGGAAGAGATAATTAGCCTTTTTTAAAATTGCTATTTTAGGCTGAGGAGAGATGTAGAAAAGAACAAGACTTTCAAATTTTCCCCAATCATTGGGTAAGTTCAG